CTGTCCTTCTGGTCCCCAAAAAGACTGGGGAAAAACGTATGTGCGTCGACTACCGCGCGTTAAATAAAATTACCAAAAAAGAGCGTTACCCTATGCCGCTTATACAAGATCAGCTTGATAGGCTAGCGAAGCAGCGCGTATTCTCATGCCTCGATGTTTTATCTGCATATTTTTGTATACAACTGGAAAATGACAGTAAGCAGTATACAGCTTTCGTTACGCCGGATGGGCACTACCAATACACACGTATGAGCTTCGGACTCGTGAATGCGCCTGCTGTCTTCCAGCGAGCTATCGACGATATATTAGGTCCGTTGAAGTTTGAGTGCGCTACTGCGTACCTTGACGATATACTCGTCTATAGTGAAGATTACTGTGAGGCGTTGAGTCGTTTGAGAGCCGTGTTAGAAAGAATACGCGCGGCAAACATGAAACTTAAAATCGATAAGTGTTCGTTTTTAGTCCCACGGATTGAATACCTAGGACATGAAGTTTGTAACGATGAAGTGAATCCGGCGCAACACAAAATAAACGCTGTTTGTGATTTTCCCGTACCGACTAATGTGCATCAGTGTAGGCAGTTTATGGGTTTGGCTAATTATTTTAGGAAGTACGTTAAGTGTTTCGCGATAATTGCGCGTCCGATAACCTTATTAACAAAAAAGGATCAAACCTGGGTCTGGGGTAGCGAACAGCAGCAGGCCTTTGATAAATTAAAAGCTATACTCATTAGCCGGCCCGTATTAGCTTTGTTCAACCCGGACCGCGAGACTCAAATACATACCGACGCGTCTAAGATTGGTTTGGGTGGTATTCTTCTCCAAAAGCAGCCGGAGGGTGCGTGGAAGCCTGTCGCGTATGCTAGTCGACAGACTACACCCGCTGAACAAAACTACCATAGTTTCGAGCTCGAGACCATGGCTGTAGTGATGAGTTTGCAGAAGTTTAGGGTGTATGTAAGTGGTGTCAAGTTCACCATAGTCACCGACTGTAATGCCTTACGCTGGACTTGGTCAAAGCGAGATTTAAATCCACGCATCGCAAGGTGGTGGTTGGAGGTACAAGGGTTTAATTTTGACGTTGATTATCGCGCTGGGAAGTCGATGTGTCACGTAGACGCGTTAAGTAGAAACCCTGTTGGGAATATATTACGTTGTGTAGAAACAGACCTGATTGAAAGTTTGCAACACGATGACGAATCCATACGGGCGGTTATTAATCAGTTAGCTGACGAATTAGCAAACGGTAACTCGAAAGGGTTGGCTGCGGACTACGTAGTTGAAAAAGGAGTTCTGTTCAGAAAGGCTAATAATAAACTTAAGGTTGTTGTTCCTAAACAATGCCGGTGGTCTCTAGTGCAGACCTTCCATGATAGTAATGGTCATGTAAATTTTAATAAAACTTATGATGCAATTAAGAGTAAGTATTGGTTCGGTAACATGCGTCGTTTTATTCAAAAATATGTGCGCAGCTGTATTTCGTGTCAATACGCTAAGAAGCCTACGGGTCGACTTGTTGGGTTATTGCATCCAATAGAAAAGGTACCAGTGCCTTTTCATACTGTGCATGTCGACCACCTTGGTCCCTTTTGCAAGAGTCCGTCGGGAAGGATGTACATTTTCGCGATCATAGATTCATTTACCAAGTTTATATGGATCGAGGCGGTGCGAGACACTAGTTGTGCTAATGTCCTTAAGACTCTAGACCTGTTTATAAAGACGTTTGGTTTGCCAAACAGAATTATCAGCGACCGTGGCAAAGCCTTTGACTGTCACGAGTTCAAGAAGTATTGTACTGAGCGTCAAATAAAACACGTAATGAACGCCGTGGCGAGTCCTAGAGCTAACGGTCAAATTGAAAGGTATAATCGTACAATACTTGATGCTCTCGTGGCTTACGTTGGTGATGACCAAAATAATTGGGAGATGTATCTACCTAGGGTTCAATTAGGATTGAACTCGAATATTAATAATACTACGGGGAAATCGCCGTTAGAGCTGTTGTACCGCTTTCGACCTCGTATAGCGGGTGACTTAGTTACACCTGTTAGATCAGACTGTTTCAATAACTGGCGTGAGTCTGCTACTACTAGAATGCAAACTGCTGCTCAGCAGTCGAAACTAAATTTCGACCGTAAGAGACGTACTGAAGCGCCCCTTAAGGTTGGCCAGTTGGTCCTGGTGCAACGGAAGGTATTTAGGAAAGGGCTTAGAAGTGGCAAGTTAGTACCACGTTATGATGGTCCATTTGTTGTGACAAAGGTGCTCCCGCATGACAGATACGTTGTTAAGGCTAGCAATAAAAGTCGTAGTTCTTATGAGAATGTATTGGCAAGGGATAGACTAAAGCCGTTCCATTGCATGTCCGATTCAGATTAAAAACCGAGTCATTATTTTCGTTCTGTATGTAATTATCCTTATTAGGAGAAACTAATTCATTCAGATTAAGAACTGAGTATTTGATTGAGCTTACTTTAAACTGATAATTTAAAATAAGTGTTTGATCTCATTGTTGAAATAACAGGAGTTAGACTACTCACTGAATTAATATTCTATTTTTCTTCTTTTTATAAACAATTTTCATTGAAGGATAACTTATTAATTTAGATTAAGAACTGAATGACCAAGTTTAATTTATGTTCGGATTTATGATTTAAATTGATTTTACTTGACCTCAATGTATTGAGAAACTATGAGCAGTGTGACTGATTGTACTTCCTAGTTATAGTCAAGTTATATTACACAAGTACCATGGTACCTCTGTATTCATTATGTGATTTAAGTATATTGTTTATGGCCTAAGTAATTGTTGTCTTATTTAAGGGACAAGTAAAAGAGATCTCTGTACTTTTAAAAGTACTATGGATTGTGTTTACACAGTGTTGTGAGCATGAGCTTCTTGTATATTGAACCCTATATTGCATGCATGCCACCTTTAAGAAGGTGAATCATGAAGGCTTGTACAGCGGACCATGACTTTCGGGGATACCTTACATGCAGTAAGTGTGAACCGAACTGCTGAACGCAGATCCATGCGAGATGGGTGGACCGCCAGAGCAGTTGAAGGCCTTAAGAGGTGGACCACCAGACTTTAAGAGGTCAGGAAAGGTCAAGTAAATGCTTGACCTGTTAAATGTAGACTCAAGTAATGAGTGGACCGCCTGCTGGCCTTAAAAGGCGGACCGCAATGGACCTTCAGAGGTCTTAAGATTGAAAGGCTAAACTCAATTGTTTGTGAGTGTGCCGTTTACTCATGTGGTAGGCCTTAAGAGGTGGACCCTGTAGCTATTTGGTAGTTTCGCACTGTATTGTGCTGGAATAAGCCTTAAGAGGCGGTACTTAGAGACTTTAAGAAGTCGTCTTGTACTAATGAGCCTTAAGAGGTTCCGTGTACTCATCAAGAAAAAGGAGCTGTGCGGGACGCCCAGCAGCATCAGGACGGCCGACTGAGAGAGATCGGTCAACAAATCGCTCGACTCGCCAGCGCGCCGTGATTGGTCCGCGGCATCTTTTGACACACCGACCGCCCGCACGCAGGACATCGGCTCGCGTGGCGACAGTTACCTTCGGGACGTCAAATAGTTATTGCGTGTGCTATTTTAATTATTCGATGTATTTCGTCCTTTGAATGTCTTTGTTAAATAAATATCACAAACAATAAATTTTTGTCTTTTAATTTATAAACGAGAGGAATCGATTCAGAAATATTCGATTTCCATATCGAATAATTTCGCAACTTCACTATTTATTTCGTGTCATAACGTTGCAACACTGAAATTGTCAAATCTGGAATGGAATTAAAATTCCGAGTATAGGTACAAATAAATGATAGCAATATCACTTTCCTAAAATCGATGTGTTAATATTTATAAAACAAGCCATCAATCTATCCTGTTTGTTTTCTAGTTAGATGAACATTGATGAGGCTTCCACATGCAGTCCTTTATCTTAACTTAAATCGCCCGTCTCTGTATATATATTTTCAGTTATATTATAAACATGTCGAATGACAAATATTGGGGCCTTAGATCTCGATCGATATCGATAACAATGAATTATTTCGACACTTAATTTTATGCTTGTTACTGTCTTATTTTTAACAGATGAACCTTCAGTGGATTTGAGGAATAAAGGGTCTGGTTGCGGGACTCCATGTCTTGGAGCCGCGTTTCTGAAGGTATGTAAAAGAAATCTCATTTACATGATTAGAGAATAAGATTAATATATCCAGTAGTCGTCTGAAACCTCCACGAGATTACTTTATTCAAATTCTGCTATTTCTCACAAAGTTAGTAATGACTGTTGGAAGAAGCATCCGCAATCGAGATGGGAGGAACTTCAATTCAGTCATGTGGGTAGTTGAAGTTTTGTAAAGAAGCCAAATATTACTACAAGATTGATCGATTACATTGCTACGATGTTTAAAATATCAGTGTAGTTTTGATTTGTTAATTGTTGTTGATACGCCATTGGGAATGGCTCCGGGGATGTAATTTGACACTGGTGTTGTATGAATTGTTGCAGAACTTCATCTGCTGCGACTGGGTGCACATGGACATCACGGGGGTGGGCAAGGTGGCGCAGTGGGGCGCGCCCCCCTACCTGGCGCCGCGCCGCATGACGGGACGACCCACGCGCACGCTGGCCGCGCTGCTGCGACGCATGGCCGCCGACAACCACCATGACCATCACAAGGACCATAAGGACCACAAGGAGCACAAGGGCGCCGCCAAGGCCTGACTGTATTCCTTACTTTTATAACTGTATGCTGAGCTCGTTCATTATATATCGAACCCCGTAAAATACTTGATAGAAATAATTCTATTAGTCATGTCTTGTCCAATAAAGTATGTAAGAAACGTTCAATAAACTTATCTCGAAGCACATTCAGTTTCCTTGTTTTATAAACTTAATTTAAAGGACTTTTACTTCAAACATACAACATTCCATGTCAATGAGATCTTTATCGTTAAAACTATACACAACATACATTGAGAAATTCGAGCATACCACAACCAGCGGGTTCAGCACGTAGGCGTATCGGTATCAGTTGAGTACACAAACATCGAGTGGAATCTCATTAGTCTACACAATTAATAACAGCGCATTAGGGCGAGCTCAGGTAAATATTTACGACTAACGCAAAAACTAAACACATAACCAAATCAACGGGTGCGAAATGAAACACCGATGCTTATTGACCTAAAAATGAAGAAACATTTATTTTCAGTATGTCTTTTGTAAAATTTAATAACAGAATGAATCAAATGTGGTAAGAGAATAACAGAGCGGATTACTTTCCATTTCGATAGAATTAGTTTCACCAACAATAGAAATATAATATTTATCAAGTCATTTACAGATACAATTAATGCAGTACCAATAAATCTAATTTATTCGTTTACTGAGTTAGTTAAATTTAAACATTTATTACGTTACCATAATGTACACGGAGTGGAGCGGGCGGAGCGAGCCGTCCGCCGGGTACACTATCTTTTTTTGGGATTTTTTAAATTTTTATTCCTCACGTACTTTATAAATATCTCATACTTGAAAAAAATTTACATTAAAATGTATCGGAAAGGTGCGGGACGCTAGCACCGCAGACACTAGGGCGCGACGCAAACAGAGGCACGCACGCACACATACAGGACGGCGGCCGCCCCAATATACACAAATATAAATATGAGCCGACACGAACCCGAGACTTATACCATCACATTGCGACGCACACCTATTCGTTTTCCCTTTGTACCGCTACAGTTAAAATTTTTCTTACATAGTAAAATTAACGGAATACTTTAAATCTAAATAAAAAGAGAAGGCGGAGACGACGGAGCGCGGGGAACATGGCCGCCGCGCTCCGTCGTCCGCGCCCGACGTTACAAGTACATCATTAAACTGAAACGATGACAATATTTAATTTATCGCAAACACTAGAGAAATGCAGGTCCAATACGATGGTAATATTGTGTGTCATGAAACAAAATGTATATTTAAATTCTCTGCTTTTTACACACACACTAGCCGGCGGCTCACTTCGACGTCATCATGGTGACGAATTCTGGAAAAGAAACACAAGCCAGCATTAGTTCAGTAGCCAGGGGCGCTGCGACGAGCTTTAAAAGTGTCACATAAACCCTTGCATAACATGTCTAAGATAAAATGTTAACACAAACATTATTAACACAACGAAAGTAACCGACAGAGATAGAGATGCACTAAAGATGTAACCGCTAGTAGACAGATACCACTAGATGTATTAACAGTAAATAAATCGAGTCAACACCAAACATATGCCTTCAGGTAACAGTGACAATATACAAAGCAAGGCATGTACTTGATGGAGCGACGGACAACATAAATAAACCTTACTTTTACCTCATCATGCCACTACAAGGGGATTATGTGAAATACCACCCTCTGGATATATCAACGCAAAATACAATCATGATAAAAGTAATAATAAATGATGGGCGGAAGCACTCGATTAGATACCAGTGCTGCGAACGAACATATCCCGATAGTGTCGTGCGAAGCCTATACACAACGTGTTCATGATACAGTCGATACGATATCGATCGCGTACCGGCGCGACGTTTGCTGCTCGTTTGTTAGCCACGTGTCGTGTGTGTGAGTGGGTGTCAGAGTGGTCAAGCTAGTGTCGCAGAGCTAAGCACCGCACACGGCACACGGGCAAGCTGAGGCGGGGCGGATCACCAGGTGGTATTTCTATAGGAAAACTTCTATACAGATATTAGACACATGCACCAATCAACAGGAAAACAATATTCAACATGTCCCTGTGAGGACGGTGGTCGCCTGCAATTTTGTCACCTCGTGGCAACAACAAAATTGCAGGCGAGCCGCCACGCCAAGTGAGTAAATAGACACAATCGATAGTCAAGTGTGAGATCCCAACGAGAGAGTGAGAGGGCGGGGTAGGGCGGGACAGCTCAGGAGTGGCGGGACCAGCTAACATATCCAAGGGAAGGAACAGTTAATAACGAGCAGCAAACCATTCAGATTAACACTGGGATATACCTATTGTCGTACCGCACTCGACGTAGGCCGTTGGGCTCATTGCATCGATCACTACACACTACTAGGGGAAATTGTTTCGAGATCACAGCGTTATCGTAGAGTCTTTTCTTATGGTTAGTTACGGTACTAATATCACAAGTGTGGCGGCGGGCCGTGCGCTAACGGCTGCCGTCGCCGCGATCGAAAATGATTTTGGCGAATGCATGGAAGTCTGCAAGAGAGAGAACGCTCGGTCGGATGATGGAATACACATTGCACATACAAGGACGCGGACCAACCCTAGCTTCCCATACGTGTTACACTGTATCCATGCACAACGGGACAGCAAGCTTACTCAACAAGCGATACTATCTAACTAGTGATCCAAATACCACTCTTGTGTTCAAATCAACTTCAAATTTAAGCTTTCTAAACCAGACTGACAATACATAATCGTACGACTGCAAAACGTCAGAGTCCAGTTAGTTTACTCTACTCGACTACAGTATCATGTCGTTGCAGGGACACAATCTATTACTCAAACATCTTTAAACTTTCTGTACGCAATACCAAGACTGCCAGATACGTTTTTCGATTTTATATAATTTGATAAATAAAATGGACCGTTTGGAAACAAGCAAACCCAACTGTTAGTGTGAACACGTACTATGCTACATGCTGGAGTCTGGTGTACGATATCATTATAATACTGGGTTCTATCACATCGGTGGCACACTGATTTGTCAACAGTACATTGTTTTTGAGGATCGGTCATGCGTCAGTAGCGACTGATAATTTTTTGGTATTATAGAAAAACTATACGTCAATAAAGTGACTAGTGAAAACGTTGCATATTAAAATACATAATTATAATGACGGTCTAGAAACAAGTTGTATCCTTGTCCCTAGAGCGTCGTGCGGCGCGGTGCCGGTGTGGCGGTGGAGTGCAACATCCCAAAGCGAGTGAGTGCGTGGGTACGTACCCTCGTAATTGACTTGTCCGTCGCCGTCGATGTCGGCCTCGCGGATCATCTCATCGACCTCCTCATCGGTGAGCTTCTCGCCGAGGTTGGTCATGACGTGGCGCAGCTCAGCCGCCGATATGAACCCGTTGCCGTCCTTGTCGAACACGCGGAACGCTTCACGGATTTCCTCCTCACTGTCGGTGTCCTTCATTTTACGGGCCATCATCGTCAGGAATTCGGGGAAATCTATCGTGCCGTTACCTGGAAATCAACAATGTTACAAATTAGTATTTTTATCAAGTTTAATACTAAGACATACATCAATTCCAGTTTAATACTACCCAGTAATTTAATCTGCTTCAAGAAAGAGATTAGTTAACGTGATAAAATACAATCAATTTTTGGATGTAAACCAGAGAACAACCCACGTAACAGCTGGGGAGTCAAGTCAAAAGGAATTCGTAATATTAGTTACGAATTTACGATAAGTGATGTGATATCTTATTTTGATACGATATAGCCATGTATAAATAAAACTAATTTAGAATGCCAAAAAACGTGCAGAGTTTATTTTTGAAATAAACAAAGAATTCGTTTGAATAGCAGGTGCGCCTCTATGGCTAAGTAAATTTAGATAGAACAATCAATGGAAATTTTCACGTCAGAATAAAGATCAAGGGGCCGCCAACTAGATTTACGATGTATAAAAGTACATACATAATGAATAATATAATTGTTATTAGTCGTTATTTTACGCGAGAAGTATGCGCGAGCAGCGAGCAGTCAAGCACCCGTGTGCGGACGAGCCTTGTTTGTTTTGCTTGACGGCAAGTGTTGGCGTTTCCACGAACATGGACACTTATAAACACATAGATTTATCATCCGACTGCGCCTGTGTATTGTCTGACCTCGCACTACATGGGATCATGTGCTTGTGATACGTCATTTATTTAAAAACATTAATGAATGAGTTGATCTTACAGCAAATTAATCATACCATTAATAGCTTGGGAATATGTATAATAAAACCTCTTTTTTATTGGGTACTTGATTACAACATGCTAACATTTATTACAGCTTGTTTCTGCTCGCCATAAGTAGGTATATCAGTTTAGTACGTAAGAGTATAAAGGTAAACATATATTTAATGACAGCATTGGCATAGGGAACGCGACAACAGCCAAATATAACGTGATCCACGTGATTTTGATAGCTGAACATAACATAATTATATGTAACTTTATCTAATGTAAACATCACACATTCTATTTTTTTATATTTAATAGGTACTCTAGGTCATTGCTTAACTGTACATTGAGAACCGCCACATTTTGTACTGCGTATTACCTTCAATTTTAATTGGCAAATTCGTTAATTGTTTATATAACATGTTAAATGGTGACGGATCTACAATTAGGGATATGTAACGAATATTTTTTCCTTATATTTCCTACGCCTGCAATCAATGTTCGATTTCATATCTCAAAGATATTATAAATCCTTATATCGGTCAATTAAATTGAGATTACGGTTTATGGCACGTTGTCTTATTTAAGTTTCTCGGAAATATTTACGTTACAATAAAATGTTTATATTGCAGTGGACTATGAAACGATTCTCCTGCTTCGTCTTATTTTAATTCAAAAGATCCTATAACGTTTTTCACCATGAGTACATTGTTAGACCATGTTTGTATAATGATTCCTTTAGTCTCTCACGAACGTGTGATTTGAGCTTTATTTATATATACTTCAAACTGTTATTACTATGGTAAACGTAATAAAAATTGTTTGTTATAGCAAAAGTAATTATTTCTGTTCCACGCATGCGCGTGCGAGTTAAACGAGAGACGAAACAAAAAATGTTACGTTTTGATCGACGTTATCAACAAATCAACTGGAATGCGTAAAGTTGGATAAGGATTTGCAGAACTATCGTTAAAATATTAATGCTGTTTTTATTTCTGTTATACATTAGAATATATTCTACTAGAAATTTTGATACATAAAGGAAGTAGACAGCATATAAAAGTTTTCTATAATATCTTTAATTAAACTAAATAAAAATTTCATTTGATGACTAGCTTACGACGTTGGACAATCTCCTTAAGATATAATTTAGGCTCACAACTATATAAATAATGGATATATCTGGTAAAACTATTTTTAACATTCTTAACGTATCTAGATCCAGTCTAGTCTAGTCGTAGTTCCTTCCGCGGTGGAACAGCCGGCCAAGCGTTGTAAAAATAAGTTCGGGTTAAGTTTGGCCCATCTAATTCTGGGTTTAACCTTTCCGAGGTGGTTCGCGAACTAATAATAGATGTGCGAGCGAAACGGTGAGCTTGCGAGAATGCAATACACATTCTCGATACAACATCAATAGAAGGCGCACTACCGATGCAGCTACAAGAGAAGTCTTTTGATCATTTTCTCTCTCAAAAAAGGTATTGTTTAGGGACAGAACTTGAGATAATGGCAACTGGGAAACAGGCAATATTCCTATTTAAGCAAATGTAAAAGCCGATCTATCAACAATCTTTACATCATTATTTCATAATGAGTACACGACGATATTGATTTTTACCTAAACTTTTTCTTTATAAACCTGCGATGACATATGTATCTAGTTTTGGTAATCGAAAGATAATCTGTAGGTTCTGTGTGGCTTTACTCTGTGTGTGTGTGTGTTCGAGGCGCACAGCACACCTGGACCACTCTCGTTAATTGTCGGCTGTAAATCTGTCACGCCCGTGTATGCTTGGGGATTACAATCGCTTAAAATTTCTGTTTGTTATTCTGTATGCTTCTAAATCTTAGACAATATAATGTAGGCGTCGTAATAGGCGGCAGCAATATTCTATCGAATAACATGAACATCGTTACACACAATGTATCTACTAAATTTTTAAATGTCTCAGATCAGATCATTTTTCCATTGCGACGTCGTCTATGACTTGGAGTTATGCAAGCTAGGAATGTGTAGATGCCCAACTTGTCTGGTTCGCAGATGTGGCTTGTTTGCGACGAGGTAACTCTGGGTGGACCAGACCAGTTTGCATGTTCACGGAGCAATGTATTTGTTATTCTTACTTTGTGCGCCAACAACGAGCAATAACCGGATCCTGTTTATGTAACCGTGTGACTATACAGGAACGTTATTATGTTAATGCCTTTAAAATCACCAACAGTACGTTCAGTACATCAAACTAAGCAGTTTTAGCACGTAGCAATGGCAATTAACAAGCGACTCATAAATCTGAGTCACCCTGCGGATATAGTAACATCACCCTGCACTCGTACCACTGAGCATCTTATCATCTTAACTCATACTTAACCTTGTCTTACTCACGTTCTATGATGTTAGATACCTCATCATTATGTACGACGAAATGATTAATTCATGAGCTGATGTGATAAGACAAGAATTTTCCACAATTTGTGATTGAGAATAAACATGGCCGCTAACGATATTTTTCTTTTCTACTGCTTGTCTTAAAGGCTTTTTGGCTAGATGGACACTACTAGACAAACAATGCCAATATTACTCATACACGTATAAAAACAAATAGGTAGTTTACAGTGTTCAAATTAGAACGGTTTGCAGTTATCACTAATTTGGACGCTATGTGAATGTTCAAGGTCTAATTTGCAAATGAATAGACGGCCTCTTGATGTCCGTTTTATTTTCGATTGGTGCACAGTCTGTATTACAAACATGTTAGGTCGGCCAACGTGCTTCACATTTAGTGGAACCGCAACGCGTTGACACCGCGGCACCGTGACGAAACAACCATTCAGCATGGACAGTAGAGTGGCCAGTTAATTTGATACGTATGTGTAACGACTTGCTAAACGCATAAAGCAGCTATGATCAATGTTTATTACAATGTTTGATACACTGCAAATATTTTGACGTAGCCAAACAATAGGGTTTAATATGAGCATTGATTACATTCTATCTTTAGTATATTTTGTCAATTCAGAGTTTCGTATGAGCTTCTGGTCCACAATAATTTATGATGTGTTTATTTTATCTTTCTGTTTCATCTGCGAGCATTAATCAATGTTGCAGTTAGTGTCCACGCTTTCATATTTCTGGTGAACATCAAACAAGTTGGTTACTTTACTGTCAACGTTATCTTGGTCGAGATGGATGAATTCAGTGGGTCTTTGTGGTTTACTAAATAGGGTACAAGGCAGTATATCGACACTCAGATGCTGTATTAAACATGAATCTAAAATCAATTGAGTAAACAGCGTTTGCTTCGGGGAAAGTTCGATTAAGCTGTTTAAGATTGGCGTGCATGGTCCATAAACACATCGCGCCCACGCCATACCGCGCGTACGCGAAATTATCCCGGCTATATTCGCTGATGAACTCAACCGGCCTATTGTCTTATAACAGCCAGCCGTTGCCGGCGGTGGAATTGAATCACAATTATATAGCTATTACAGTACACGCCATGGTGTTTTACAGTAAGGGTTATTCTGTAAACTGAGTAAAACTTCATTTAATAAGAATATTGACTGAAATTATCGAGTAACAAGAATTAATGAGGCTACAAATAACATACATTGTTCTAATACTGGTTGGAGTGTGGGAGCAAGTGTAACAATGACAAAAGCTCAATGATTCAATAAGTTGGAACGTCAAGTAAAATTAGGCGTTACTAATGTGAGCGACGGCGACGGTTGAGAAGCCTTACAAACGAGCCGGCAAGGACGACTGACTCAACATGGCGTCAGCGTCGAACACTCGATTAGCGAATCGCAAGCACATTCCTTATACGATACGCTATCACTACGTGGGCTGATTTATCGATAAACTCGAACAATTTCTACGTTCCGCCAAAGAATCAAGAAAATGTGTGAATAATCAAGAAAAGCGGTAAGAATATCTAGGAAAACGATTGCATATTTCAGGGTAACAATAGAAGTGAATTGCCAAGCACGCGGAAGAAGATATAATGGTGAAGTAAATAGCGGATGAGTCGTGCAGTCGTATGCGGGTTACTGCTCGCGTTATTACAGGGAATTTATGGAGATGGCTCGAGATGAAATGCATGCAGCATGGTACATCAGAGAATCTGCAGACTGCTTTGCTAGTCTTTAAATTGTTATTGTCAAAGCTGAATTGTAATACTTAAAGGCTAACAAAATAATAAACGTATTATATAGAATTGAAAAAGGATTACGCAATAGGGGGTCCTTTTCATTCCAGCAATAAATAATGGTTTCGCGGTTAGTAATATAATCCCAATTTCCCCAATCAA